TAAAATGATTTTTTTGATGAGTTAGTTAATATATCTATATAATAGTAATTTGTCAGTTATAAATAGGGTGGAGGCCATATGTCTTAATCAATCAATCAATCAATCAATAAGTCAGTTATTTTGTGGGAAGAATCGTGCCCAGGCAGACGAAAAGAATTCCCTATAAGCTCTTATGTATTTGTGATGTCTCAATGCATAGATGAAGGCCTTTGCAATCGAGTTTATACCAACCAGCTGGAGAATTACGATCCGACCTGGTTTTGAGAACCATGCACGATATCGTGAAACACGGAGTATATTCATGACAATGTATGGAACAAAACAACATGTCATGACTCCAACGATAATGGCGAATGTCTTCATAACTTTCAATTCCTTCGCCAGATGACGTAACCAAGTCATGTTTTGCTCAGACTGTACTTCTTCAAACTGTACTTGTTCCGACTGTGCTTGTCCCGACTGTTGAGGCTGTAACACGAATTCTGATGCCATCCTTTGTCTTTGCTCTTTGACGATCTTGAACATTTTGTAATTCAGGATTGTCATGACACAAATGGCGGCTAACTGTAAGATGACCTCTAACCATACAACGGGTCGTGGTAAAACACAATGTTCTCGCTCACACTCTTGTTTGATCGTGCGTAAACGGGTCATGGGCAAACGGGTCATGGGCAAACGGGTCGTGGGTAAACGGGTCGTTGGTAAACCATATTTTTCTCGAACACATTTTTGCCTGGTGTGCATGTAAATATATATGAGTGGGAGCTGAGCCAATGCAGCTAACCAGATACAACTGAGAAGCATCCTAATTCTTCGTGTTGTCACGATCAGTGGATACTTCAGTGGCTTCGCTATATACAGATATTTGTCAATTGTGATGGATAGTAGAATCGTTATGGAAAGGAATAAGGAAACATAAAATGTGGTTTCCGTTACCTTGCAAAACACTAACACTTCGTCTCTCCCTACTGCATGAAAGAACCAAACAATTTTTTTGGGATAAAGTATTAAGCAGACGAGAAGATCAGCAAAAGCAAGATGTGTGACCAACCAGCTGCTCGGAGTCTTGTCGTGGTTCAGAAAAATGTGATAAATAATAACTGCAATGTTTCCCAACACACCAACAAATAAGAAGATGAAACTAAGTACCACTAAGATAACACGCTCAACATCGTCATCTTCTCTTGGCCAAGATGTTGAGTTCGTCGAATTCATCGTTGTTCCCTGTTCTTCTTTTCAAAACTGTCCGTTGCGTGTAGGAAGCATCTGGTAACACTTCAAACATCGCGTCCCTTTTAAAACAAAGCGACTTTTGTAGACAATTGACTTGAGTGGCGTGTCATTTTAGCGCAATTTTAAGCATTACTCATTTTAAAAATTATTTTTAAGTTAAAATTGTGTCAGAGTTGTATTTATCCGTTTCTTTTTATTTTTATTAAACATCAACCATAATCCCCGAGCCAACGCTGCGAAGCGCCGTTCCCGGCGTAAGCCCGGGGCGAGGGTACTATAATTCCGCTCGGCTATATTCACCCGGGGAAAGGAAAGCATTAGCGAAGTCTAAAGTTCATCAATAATCGCGGGCGCATGGCTAAGATTCATGGGTGTCATGGGTGGACCTCGTTACTGATCGCAAAAGTATGGCTGTTTGCCAGGAGTGGTAAGCAAGATTTCAATTTTCAAACGCAAATATTTGGAAAAGACGTTTCTAGCAATGTTGCTTTGGGCAAATAAGGATTGATTTACCAGGAGAAATCGCGAAAAAAATATAGGGCATGTTTGCTTTCAAGTTCAATGTTTATGAATTGTGTTGCTTTATTTTTTTGCTTAAAATATGCACTGCCACTGCTTTCCATTTGTAAGTTTCCTAAATTATCCTATTTGGTTTAAGAAAAAAACTTAAAATGTAAAAGAGAGCAAATTAATTTCATGAAATTTAATAAGATAACACGGTGCAGATCATGGTCACATTCGCTTGCGACTCTTGGGCAAGATGCTGAGTTCGTCGGATTATTCATCGTTGTTCCCTGTTCTTCTTTTCAAAACTGTCCGTTGCGTGTGGGAAACATCTTGTAACACTTCAAATATCGCGTCCCTTTTAGAACAAAGCGACTTTTGTAGACAAATGTCTTGAGTGCCGTGTCATTTTAGCGCAAATTTAAGAAATTTTTATTTTAAAAATTATAATTCTCTTATTGCATATACAATGGTAATATTTTTCTGAAGACTTTTCCTGCCTTCACTTTTCCCTGGCAACATCATAACTCCTTTTATCTTATCCTTCTTAAAGGTTCCTTGATTGTACCATCTAGTTTGCAATAATGAAATTGCCTAAACTCGTTCATGCAATAGTAACTTAAATGTATTCATATTAATTAATCCTTGTCGACTTTGTAATTTGACTGTTAGTTTGAATATGCCTTGAGTTAAGACGAAACGTCACTTTCATTAAAACTTACTGATATAATATTTGTGTATGGTTGTTTTGGGTTGTGCGGCTTGCCTTGTTTGAGAATATTCCTGATGATTTTTTGTGGATGTTGCGATCATTTAGTTTCCAACTGTACTTGCTAAGTTCTGTGCTTGACGTTTTACTTTTATTTTTAAATGATGACTTATGATTGTTATATACCTAGTCTTAAATGTTGTGGCTGTTAATCCAATGTAGGTCTGATCCGGTGTTCCATCATTGGTAGTTACTGTTGCTTCGTATATTACCGACTCACTCTTACAACGTTCAGCTACTGGGCATTCCTCTTTCTTTCGACAATTACATTGCTTTGCTTCAGATTCTTGTTTGGTCTTCGATTGATTGATTGATTGATTATAGTGGGCTTTATTAGAAAAAATACTCAACAACAGACGTGCGAGTTTACAATTCTATGAGACCTATGGTAAAAACTACAATAAAGCTACTCTTTATACAAAGTTGAAAAGAAATAAATGTGCGTTTAAAACATTCTGTTCGAACTAGTATATCTTATCTTTTTCGGGGGAAGAAGATCGAAAAGGGGATGGGCTTCATTAGCAATGATATTATTCCACAGTTTCTTATCTCTTTCCTGGATGATGTCATGCATAGATACATATGGCATAATACGACTGAAGTATTTATCTCATAAGCACTTGCCCATACCTCAATGCTATACCAAAAGGTGGACATAATTAAGCTTTCAAACAAGGTAGTAAGCTCATGAATAGAGTAACCATAGAATTTACATACTCGTAGAATATGCAAACGAGAGCTAGCTTTATGTATCAATGTATCAAATTGTTCGTCCCAATTACACGGGTTTTCATTGAAGGTAATGCCTAATAGTTTTCGTGACGTTTTCCGTTCAATACTAGATTATTACGTTTTCGTAGTCCTTTGCATTGTGATTATAGTCGTATCACTGATAAAGATAGCGGCCTCGAATGAAAATATTGGCTATCGCGCACCTGACCCTAGTTTTTTTAAAAGTTCTTGCACGGGTCAGGACAAAAAATAAACCATCTTGAATATCAGTGATACACTATAACCACAATGCAAAGCGCTACGAAAACGTAATAAGGGGAATCCTCAATTGATGGTACTGGATTTGGAAGTTGTTTTTTTGTTTTGCCTCTCCATCTCCCATGTTTTACCTAGGTTTAGTACCATACCATCATCCTTCGACCAATTAACAATATTTTCAACTTCTTTCAGTGATGAGTCCGGAAGATTTGACTTGACACTGAGAGTCATGTCATCAGCAAACTTAATTAGTAAATCTTTACTTGGATTCTCAACAGCAATATCATTTACCATGCGTGAGGAAGAATAATACAGGGCCGGCCAATAGAGACCTTACGATTTTAGGACGGCAACGAGACGGCGACGGCCAAAACAAACTCCTTCAAATAAATGGTAGTACGTAAAGATAGTTCGTGGTATATTATCAATCGGATGAATTTAATACAGTTTTAGAAGTTGAAGACATGGGTTTTATGGTTGGGAAAAGTTCTGCTAAACCCACCTACTTATAGTGATATGAAATTAGTCACATTAAATTATTCCATTACAAGTCAGCATGTTTCGAAATCAGCCCATTCAACCCCCCGCAAGGTAACCCGAAGGAGACGCTTCTTCATGATTATGCTGATTGTTTTAGTGGCTTTGAGTCCCGGGGTGTTTTGAGGGAGAGTTTCGTATTACGCTAGACCCAGCAGTGCCACCAGTAATCTATCCACTCCGCAGGATTCCAGAAGCCCTCCAAGAACCGTCAAAGAAAGAGCTTGATATTATAAGCACGGGATATTATAACCAAAGTTTCAGAGCCCACTGATTGGGTTAACTCACTTGTGTGTGTAACAAAGCCCAATGGATTCCTCAGGTTGTGTCTAGATCCCAAAGATTTAAATAAAGCCATCAAGCGCCCCCATCACCGCACCCCACCTATTGATGAGATACTCCCAAAGCTAAACGGTGACCAATATTTTTCAATTGTTGATACGAAAAGTGGTTACTGGAATATTAAATTAGATTATCAAAGTTCCTTGTATACTACATTTAATTCTCCCCATGGCAGATTTATTTATTAACTTTACAACCATACGTAAAATAGACTAAAACACTACATAATATGGTTGAAGGTATGGTCAACAGGACATGAATAACCCCATGTGAAGACCAACCTTAATGAAAACAAACTATAACAAACATAAATCAAAGACGATAACAAATATAAAATTTACAGAAAACATGACGAATTACGAACAACAGCTTAAGTTGAAAGAGCGGCACTTAGAACAGAAGGTTTTCCAAGATACCATTTTCTCAGGCTCCTTTTTGGTCTAATATGTGCTCAAGATATTTTCCAAAAGAAGGTTGACGAAGCCTTTGGTGATCTTCCCGGAGTAACAGGGATAGCCGATAATATCGTCATATCAGGCAAAACCCGTGACGACCACGACAAGAATCTGAAGGCAGTGGCATGGAGCGTGCTCAAGAAACCGGTGTCCGATTCAATCCAGACAAGTGCCAGATTGCACGTACAGAATTATCATTCTTTGGCCACACCATTAGTGCTACTGGTCTCAAGCTGGACCCCCGAAAAATTGAAGCCATCAGAAATATGGATCCCTCTACAAGTCTCCCATACCTGCAGATCTTCCTTGGAATGATTCAATATCTTGGTCAGTACATTCCAACTAAATCTAGCCTTTGTTTCAGCAGTCCTATGGGATCTTACCAAGAGCTCCAATGTGTTTCAATGGAATCCTGAACACCAGCAGGCAGCAGATAAGGTGAAGAAACTCATCGCCTCCCCTGGTAACGAACTATAATTGGACTAACCTGTATCGTACTGCACCGTGCGAACAAAAACTGGAAATTTTTCAGGATGTTATTCATACCGGCTTAGACCACTTCCTTCCATGTAAAGTAGTTAAAATGCACGACCGAGATAAGCCTTGGATAACACCTTCATACAAGGAACTTATTAAAAGCAGACAGAAGGCATTTTTTCAGAAAAATGACAAATTGTACCGGCGACTACGTAATCGTGCCAATCGAGAAAGTAAGTACCTTAAATCTGCATTCTTAGAATATAAATTGAAACAATTGAAACGTAA